TGGAGAAGCCATTCGAATTATTTAGATTCTACACCTCTGGATGTTTTTTTGCAAGGTAAAAAAGTTCTCCCTAGCTAAATTTTATTGGTTTGAAATACAAATAAGAACTACTTCTGCCCTGCTTTAACCCACCTTTGTGAACAAGTTATTCTGTGATTAGCTATTCAAAGATACTCACACAGTGTTGTATATCTGCTGAAATAAGGAGGAAAAATAAATCAGGAACTCTCACCAAACAAAGTCTGTTTTCTTGCTGATGCCTCAACCGAAGATTAAAGACTAAAGAACTCCATCTCCCAACACTGGCTATATCAATCACTCGTTCTGACAGCTCTCATTGCCGCAATGCCTATAAACATATGGTTGGCTGTGGTAACAGTTGGGGTAATAGGTTGACAAATAATGACTCCAGGAGAGAGCGCTCCATGCAGTGTGGCCCTAAACCACAATGATTTTGACACCACTGGGTCCCATGTTTTACAAGCCACAATGACAACTGTGGTTAGCTGCATGTTGAAAGCAAAATCTAAGCATGTCTGTGTCTTCTGCTAGGTGGGTGATACTCAAGGTTAACTTACAAACCAGTTGGAAACAATGAAGCCACATGCTCCCAAGTGGGTAGCGTTGTAAGCCGTCTTATCATATGACTCATCATGTTATAATTTTTTACACCATGTTAGCCTGTGAGTTAGTGTTAGCCATCTTTATCCAGAATGTTAAATGTGCTAATCCCTATGTAACCGCAGACTGCAGCTTTAACAAGGAAACAGGCCAGCTGTTGTGATCAGTCTTGTATCGGACAGGGAAAAAGGAAGAGAAACATGTGGAAATACTTGTTGAGTGAAAACCAACACACAGATGTTGAGGCATTTGCCGCCTCTCTGCTGGCCTTTCCTTTAACTCTGAAGCAGCTGGTTATACAGAGTAAAGTCCGCATAAAGGTTAGACATGGGGGGGCTTGCGTGTAAAAAAATGCAGAATATAAGAGGAAAGCTGAATGGAAATCAAAAGTAGTATGCTTGGAAGAAAAAGGAAGGAATAGAATGAAAAAGCAAGACAGATGAGAGACAGACAGGCAGATGTGCACAACAACGAATATTTATGAATGCTTTATTGAGCCCCATGAGGAAAATTCTCCTTTCCCTTGGCTCACTTCACAAGACGAACAGACCACAGGGTCAGCTTCAGAACAGAACCCTAGAAGCAAGTGGGCTTTCACAGTCTTTAAAACGTAAGTAGAAGCTTAAGTTTAAGTGGAAACAATGCGTCCCATCACAGGAGTCTGAACCTGAGTCCTCAGCTTGAAGGGCAGCCTCCTTACTCACTGAAGCACCTTGATGAAATGTTTATCACCAGTCTGGTGTACTTCATCAAACTTCTGCACCATTGAAAGCTTGTAAGTCTAATTTGGTTCAATTATCAAGGCCATTTTGATATCCTAATTTAGTGTGCCACAAAAAAAGATGTAAAAGAAAATTGTTAACCCATTTCTCTGAGAAGATGTTTTTAAACACACTCTGTCACTGTGAACTGGATTTAATTTCACTGCAACTACACATTACATTTACATTTGTCTGAACCATGATTAACAAAGCTGAGTCACAAATGATGACGTGGACTTGAGTTCACTCCCACCCCACACGTATTCAAACTCTGGATGACCTGAAATCTGTCTCCCTCTTTTTCCCGCTCTCTGTTTCTTCCTTGTGAACAATTTCTTTTTTTGATTTCTCTGCAGAGGGCCTGGTTGCTATAGAGACCCGCAAACATCCCAGATTTCTTACCCCCTAGTCGGCACAATTCTACTAAATCCAGCTTTTCACAAGCACTATGAAATAGCCAACTCCCGTGCATTTGGAGCCAGTCTAACACACACGCACGCAACACACCCACAGAGACTTTTCTCTAACCCCTGTATCTTGTACCTGACCTCTCACATGGCCCTCAGCAAAGTACAGTGTTTAGCACTTTAAGCTGCTTCCTGCTACAAAGCCAGCTAATTGCTAGACGTTTTGTTGTGTATAATCTTATTTTCAGCACTGACTAGAATGAATGTGATATGCAACGGTTTTGTGTATATGTAAGTGTGGGGTGTGTGTGTGAAGGAAGAAAGGGGGGCATATTAATCATGTTTATTTATCTGGACGAGGAGTTGAAATAAGCGACGAGACATCATTTAACAGCATGCTAAGCTAATCTCTGGTTGAGATAAATACTTCATTTCTCTCCTCTCCCCGTGACGCTCCCTTGCTCGCGACTGCTCCGCTGACGCTACATCTAAACACCGGCAATAATAAAGACAATTATTTAGGCCTTTGATAATTATGTGTCAAAGGCAGCGAAAGCCACTAGATAATTGGGCGAAAACTAAATGGTAATCCACAATGGAGATCCCCATGGGGAGACAGGCAGACTTATCCC